GGCTTAATCATAAATTAATCATTCTTGGGATATTACATTGACTAGAACACCTTTTTCAGACAAAAATTACATATTGGATTGCTAATTGGATTAGCTTTCAAGTATACTTTTGGTTAGACATAGAGACTGAAATGTAAGGCACTGAGTAGTTGTTTTTTTTGTGATGTGTATAAGAAATGGAAAAAAAATTATTTTAAAAATCTTTCAACCTCATAGTAGCAGCCAGGCAGCCCTGGCCAGAAGCTGTGATGCCTCTGTAGTTACTAATGGGGTGACTACCTTCATGACCAGCTGCCACTTCCACCCTGTGTTTCTGTCCTTGTCACTGGTCCCTACTTCTCAGTGCTTGTTTTTGTGTCTGCCACAGATCTGTGGCACTCAAGTGTCTCAATTCTTACCAGCAAAGCACTCTGAGTGTCTTTTATCTCTTGACCTCTTCGGGTCTGGCTCCTGCCCACCCACAACTATGGTGGGAAGGTGACCCTTGTAAGAGACAGAGCACCCCAACGTTGCTTGCCCAAACCCTTCAGCTTTCCCAGCCCGCTGCTCTGCCCACACGTTGGGGTGACCAGATTCTGACAGTGCCCAAAGATAGCTGAACTGCTGGCGTCCAGCCTAGCTGGTGAGACCTCCCAGCTGGATGAGCCCTGCCCTGCCTGCAAGCCAAACCTCCTTTCCCAGGCATCTTCACAACGGAATCTACTTCCACTGCAAGGCTCCTTGCTTACACAATCCTCAGATTTGGAATTCTCTACATCCCAAGGAATTCAGGGCTAGAAGATGCCCTGGGGCAAGTGGGGCGGGTGTTGGAGAACAAGTGACTCCTCCAAGGGTGAGCTCCTGAACACTGCACAGTTCTCCTCCAGTCCTCAGCTCACTGATGCAGTGCTTCTACCTGCTCTAGTCTAGCGTGTCTCCTGCCCTTATCTCCTGCCGGGAGTCTTGTCTGCTTTACACGGTGGGTCTGGGTCGTCACTCACATAACTCCTGGCACTTTGACTGAGCAGCTCTGTGTGTGTTTAACTTGTGTTCCCCAACTTCTAATGGAAGCCTTGAATATTTTATGCATCTTTAAGCTTATCCCAGGTATGTAGCATATGCTCAATAAATAATAAAAGTCTTTGAAGGCAGTATCTTTTACAAGAACTTCCTTAGCTCCAGGCAATTTGCTGGATGAATTTTAGTCTTCTGTGAGACAATGCTGTGCAGTAGGCAGTATTATCATCCCTGTTACAGTTGAGGAAACAGGCATAAAATAACTTGCCCAAGACCATCCAGAGAAAAAGCAGAGGAGCTGGGATTTGAACCAGGAGTACAGGGGCCCCCTTGACGGGGAGAGCTGACTCAGCAACCACAGTTCTCCAGCCACCACCACAGCCAGACTGCTGTTTCATAGTTTACAATGTTCAGAAGGGAAGGGAGACTGGAATAAAGCAGTCCATGCATGCATGCATTCTCTCCATAAACAAAACAAATAACAACTGTGTACCACTCATATGCCAGGCACATGTGCCAGGCATAGACATCTAAACCCCTGTCTGGGTCAAATTTTGGTATGTCTTTCCTCCTCCTGAAGCCCCATCTCACCCTTCTTTGCCTGCTGAATGACAGCTCCATTTTCAAGATCCAGCCAAGGTCCCTTCCACCCCCCCCAGAAGGACTTTGCTTCCTTCATCTCTATTGGCTCATGATTGGGGCTCCCAAAATGTATGTTTTTGACTTAATGTGCCCTTGACTGTTCCATACTTCCCCTGTCTCCAGCCCCAGTGTTTATAAACTGTTGATATTAAGGGAATGAAAAATAAGAGAGAATTTTATGTTTAAAGGTATCTAAAGGGATGCTTAAAACTTACAGGTGCATCCTGCTTTGCATAACGAATGAATTTTATTTTTTAATGTATTTTTATGGCTGCAGTTTAGAAAGAGTGGAGCACATGAACATTTTATGAATTAAACCCCTGTTTTCTCATTGATGTATGTTTCAGAGATGCCTTATCTTATTCAAAATTGCTCTTAAACATCACTTTTAAAACACTGGACCCTAACACTTTAAAAACAAACTTCTCTCAAGTGACCCTCCATGTAGCAGGCTAATCATCCACAGACCATCCTAAAGTGCTCCTGTATGCCTTTATATTTAAAAGAACACTTTTAGAATGCTTTTATAGAACTAATGATCACCTTTAATTTATAGATTTTTATGTTCCAATTTTGGGAGCTAAAATGAATTCTGATTTTATGTGTATGGTTAAACTTAAATAGAACTAAACAGCTCCAACAAAAATTGAGCAGTTTTCTGCAAAATGCCATCCACCTATCCCTGCCCCACTGCAAAGAAACCACATTCAGTTCTTTTTGGCTCAGCGATTTTCTGTTACTTGTGTGGAGTCAGAGCTGGAGCCCACAAGCCACAAAGCTTCAGGGAAGGTATTCCTCAAACCCTGTTAATACTGTTGGACAGAGCTAGGCTGAGGCAGCAGGAAAGAAAATAGTCTGCTTGTCAGCGTGCTCAGGGGATGCTGGAAGAACATGCCCACACACAGTCTCCGACAAAAAAAATGCCTTCATCAAGTACATTGAATGGTGATGCTAAGACAGACAAGGCTGTGGTCTTAGGGCTATTTAGAAAGGGCTGCCAGAGATGATATGATCCTATACCTTAAAGACCCAAAAAACTCTACTCAAAAGCTCCTAGACACCATCAACAGCTATAGCAAGGAAGCAGGATATAAAAATCAACACAGAAAATCATTAGCATTTCTATACACTAATAATGAACAAACTGAAAAAGAATATATGAAAACAATTCCATTTACAATAGCCTCAAACAAAATCAAATACCTAGGAGTAAACTTAACAAAGGATGTGAATAACCTCTACAAGGAAAACTGTAAACTCCTGAAGAAAGAGATTGAGGAAGACTACAGAAAGTGGAGAGATCTTCCATGCTCATGGATTTAGAATCAACATAGTAAAAATGTCTATACTCCCAAAAGCAATCTACATGTTTAATGCAATTGCCATCAAAATCCCCAACATTCATCAAAGAGATTGAAAAATCTACCGTTAAATTTATTTGGAAACACAAGAGGCCATGAACAGCCAAGGCAATACTCAGTCAAAAGAACAATGCTGGAGGTATCACAATACCTGACTTCAAACTATATTACAAAGCAATAACAGTAAAAACAGCATGGTACTGGCACAAAAACAGACATGAAGACCAGTGGAACAGAACAGAGGACCCGGATATGAAGCCACACAACTATAACCAACTTATCTTTGACAAAGGAGCTAAAAATATACGATGGAGAAAAGACAGCCTCTTCAACAAAAACTGCTGGGAAAACTGGTTAGCAGTCTGCAAAAAACTGAAACTAGATCCATGTATATCACCCTATACTAATATTAACTCAACATGGATCAAGGATCTTAATATCAGACCCCAAACTCTAAAGTTGGTACAGGAAAGAGTAGGAAATACTCTGGAATTAGTAGGTATAGGTAAGAACTTTCTCAATGGAACCCCAGCAGCACAGCAACTAAGAGATAGCATAGACAAATGGAACTTCATAAAACTAAAAAGTTTCTGCTCAACAAAAGAAATGGTCTCTAAACTGAAGAGAACGTCCACAGAGTGGGAGAAAATATTTGCCAGCTATGCATCAGACAAAGGACTGATAACCAGAATATATAGGGAACTCAAAAAACTAAACTTTACCAAAATTAATGAACCAATAAAGAAATGGGCAAGAGAACAAAACAGAACTTTCTCAAAAGAAGAAATTCAAATAGCCAAAAAACACATGAAAAAATGCTCACCATCTCTAGTCATAAAGGAAATGCAAATCAAAACCACACTAAGATTCTACCTCACCCCTGTTAGAATAGCCATCATCCAAAACACCACCACCAACAGGTGTTGGCGAGGATGTGGAGACAAAAGAACCCTTATACACTGCTGGTGGGAATGCAAACTAGTACAATTACTCTGGAAAAAAATTTGTAGGCTTCCTAAAAATCTAAATATAGATCTGCCATATGATCCAGCAGTCCCACTCCTGGGGATATACCCAAAGGAATGCAACACAGGTTACTCCAGAGGCACCTGCACACCCATGTTTGTTGCAGTGCTATTCACAATAGCCAAGTTATGGAAACAACCAAGATGCCCCATTACTGATGAATGGTTCAAGAAAATGTGGTACTTATACACAATGGAATTTTAGTCAGCCATGAAGAAGAATGAAATCTTATCATTTGCAGGTAAATGGATGGAACTGGAGAACATCATCTTGAGTGAGGTTAGCCAGGCCCAGAAGACCAAAAATTGTATGTTTTCCCTCATATGCAGACATTAGATCAAGGGCAAACACAACAAGGGGATTGGACTTTGTTCACATGATGAGGCGAGAGAACACAAGAGAGGTATGAGGATAGGCAAGAAACCCAAAAAAACCAAGATAGCATTTGATGTCCTCAATGCAAAGGAACTAATGCAGAAACTTTAAAGCGACAGAGGCCAATAGGAGAAGGGGACCAGGAACTAGAGATAAGGTCAGTTCGAGAAGAATTAATTTAGAATGTAACACATATGTACAGGAAAGCAATGCGAGTCAACTCCCTGTATAGCTATCCTTATCTCAACTAGCAAAAACCCCTGGTCCTTCCTATTATTGCTTATACTCTCTCTTCAACAAAATTAGAGATAAGGGCAAAATAGTTTCTGCCTGGTAGTGAGGGAGTGGGGGCAGAGGGAGGGGGCGGGGGGAAAGGGAAGGGACACGGGGAAAGGGGGAGAAATGACCCAACCATTGTATGCACATATGAATAAAAGAAATAAAAAAAAAAAAAAAAAGAAAAAGAAAGGCCTGCCAGAGGAGGATTGAGAGCAGAAGGTATTAGATCCTCATGACATAATCCTGTGTAATCTATGTTTCAGAAATTTCCACAGCCACAGTCCCATAAGCAATAGCACCAAATGTGTGTGTGTAACTTACTTGTGCATGTTTTTTGATCTGGATTAAGAGAAAATCCTTCACGGCACCGGCACAAGTAGGAGCTATCAGCATTTACACATTCGTGTTCACATCCGTGGTTTTCTGAGGCACAGTAGTCCACAGCTGTAGAAAATAACAGTCACAGTGTAATTAGTACTACAACAGAGAAGAAGGGACAACTAGGATGGAAGTATATTTACAACAAAAATTAAACCAGGGTTAATATTGCTGCCCCCCCCCGCAAAGAGTATAGATAAATAAATAAATACAAATACAAGGCCTCTTCAAAAAAACAAAAATCAGAAGTCTAGATCAGATCATTCAGATCAGAAATAGATACAAATCAAAATGACCACAAGGCACACTGACACCTATTAAACTAGCAAAAATAAAGAAGAGATAAAACTCAGTGGGAGCTGGGGGTACAGCTCAGTGGTAGAGCACATGAAGAAGACCCTGGGTTTGGCCCCCAGCACCACAAAAACAAACAAAAAACCCCAACAGCAGCAAGGCAGCATTCATGGTGGACAGCATTACAAATGGATAAAAATCCTTAGGGAAAGCAAATTTGACAATGTTCATCCTGGAAATGTGACAAAGAAACAACTTTAAAAAGGAGTGGGATTAATTACATGTATTAAACTATTCATATCAGCATTATTTATAATTATAAAAAGTCTAGAAAATAAGATGAACCTATAATAAAGGTAAATAGTTTAGTATCAGGAGAAAATGCATTGCCCTATTTTTCATTAATTCCACAAATATTTACTGAGTGTTTACTGTGGGCCAGGCTTTAGGTATTGGGGATAAAGAAAATAACAAATGAGAGATGAGGCGCTTACATTTGAGTGGTGGTGGTGGTAGGAACAGACACAAGATAAAGTAAATCGGTAAATAACACAGTCCATTAGAAGATGGAGAATGTTCCGGAGAAAAATGAAAAGAGCAAAGAGGAAGAATAGGGAGGATGTGGTATCATGGAGGGGGGCCAGAAGAGGCCTCTCTAAGGAGGTAGTTGGGCAGAGTCCTGACTGAGTACCAACCATAAAGCCCTCTGGAAGAGAGCATCCCAGGCCAAAAAACAAGTGCAAAGTCTGCTTCGCTGGAGGAACAGAAAAGAGGCAAAAGTGGAGCGCGTTAGAAGCAGGAGATGAGAATGGTGCACCCAGGAGGGACCCACAGGCCACTGTGAGGACTTCAGCTTCTGCTATCAGTGAGTTGGGAGTCCCTGGAGGATTCTGAATAGAGGAGTCAAGAATTTATGATGGAGGACAAGTGACAGTGGAAAGCCAGCCAGGAGATCACTACAGTGAGGAATGCGAGGCCTACACCAGCATAGGGAGTGGAAGGAAGGAAGTATTCTGGAAGTTACGGGTTGAATTGTGTCCCCTAAAATAAACTGTAGTCCTGACCCCTGGTACCTGCGGCTTTATTTGGAAACAGGGTCTTTCCAGAACTAATCAAATTAAAATGAGGGTAGGCCCTAACCCACTATGACTGATGTCTCATACGAAGAGGAGAATATCATGTGAAGGCTGACATTGAGATTGGAGTGATTCAGCTGCCACCAGCAGAAGTGAGGCACAGCAAGGAGGGATCCCATCACGAGTTTCAGAGGCAGCGTGGCCCTGCTGACACTTTGGCGCTACATTTCTAACCACCTATACTGTGCGACATGGATGTTGTCTTAAGCCTCGCAGCTTATGGTGCTTTGTGGTGGCAGTATTAGCAAATGGAAACACCAGGCATATGTTGAAGGTGGGGTCAACAAGATTTCTGCTGGATAGAGGTGAAGCCAGAGAAAAAGAGGAATTAAGGCTGACTCTGGGGATTCTGGAGTGACCAGCTGAAAGGCTGATGCTGCCATGAACTGAGATGGGGAAGGTACAGATGGAGCAGGTTTTATGGAGGAGGAGCAGGTTTTATGGAGGAAGAACAGGAGTTCCACTTGGGACACTAGGCTGACATTAACATTATAATTATGAGGACTTAATTGTAAATAGAAAGATAAATAATATCTGGTGAAAAAGTAGATCTCAAAATTGTATTTGCACAGTGATTAGATCATTTTCCAAGGCAGAGCCTGGAAATGATAAATAAGAAAGCTTGCTCTGCTAAGGTGGTAGAATTATGGATAACTTTCTTCCTTTAATAAAAGTTTTGTGCTATAATGCTTTAAGACACACTCCTATCAAAAAGGAAACAGAATCTAAGAAATTAATACACATGTACAGTTTTTAAAAGGAAAATCATGCATGGAGAAGGTAATGCACATTTAACATACTAATTAAAAGGTACAAAGGGAAAAACCTAGAGTTTTTGAAGGGTAATAGCCTGTGTTGTGATCATTCTTTTGCTTCCAGGCTTCATTTAGTTTTGGTTCAAATGCCAATGGTGGTGTGCATATCTGTAATCCCTGCACTTGGGAGGCTGAGGCAGAAAGACCAAGAGTTTGAGAACAATCTGAGCTACATAGTGTGACCCTGCTTTAAATAAAGGTTTCAGCACAAGAGGCCACGAATAGCCAAGGCAATACTCAGTCAAAAGAACAATGCTGGAGGTATCACAATACCTGACTTCAAACTATATTACAAAGCAATAACAATAAAAACAGCATGGTACTGGCACAAAAACAGACATGAAGACCAGTGGAACAGAATAGAGGATCCAGATATGAAGCCACACAACTATGAGCAACTTATCTTTGACAAAGGAGCTAAAAATATACGATGGAGAAATAGCAGCCTCTTCAACAAAAACTGCTGGGAAAACTGGTTAGCAGTCTGCAAAAAACTGAAACTAGATCCATGTATATCACCCTATACCAAGATTAACTCAAAATGGATCAAGGATCTTAATATCAGACCCCAAACTCTTAAGTTGATACAAGAAAGAGTAGGAAATACTCTGGAGTTAGTAGGTATAGGTAAGAACTTTCTCAATGAAACCCCAGCAGCACAGCAACTAAGAGATAGCATAGATAAATGGGACCTCATAAAACTAAAAAGCTTCTGTTCATCAAAAGAAATGGTCTCTAAACTGAAGAGAACACCCACAGAGTGGGAGAAAATATTTGCCAACTATACATCAGACAAAGGACTGATAACCAGAATATACAGGGAACTTAAAAAACTAAATTCTCCCAAAACTAATGAACCAATAAAGAAATGGGCAGTGAACTAAACAGAACTTTCTCAAAAGAAGAAATTCAAATGGCCAGAAAACACATGAAAAAATGCTCACCATCTCTAGCAATAAAGGAAATGCAAATTAAAACCACACTAAGATTCCACCTCACCCCTGTTAGAATAGCCATCATCAGCAACACCACCAACAACAGGTGTTGGCGAGGATGCGGGGAAAAAGGAACCCTCTTACACTGTTGGTGGGAATGTAGACTAGTACAACCACTCTGGAAAAAAATTTGGAGGCTACTTAAAAAGCTGGACATCGATCTACCATTTGATCCAGCAATACCACTCTTGGGGATATACCCAAAAGACTGTTACTCCAGAGGCACCTGCATCCATGTTTATTGCGGCACTATTCACAATAGCCAAGTTATGGAAACAGCCAAGATGCCCCAGCACTGACGAATGGATTAAGAAAATGTGGTATCTATACACAATGGAATTTTATGCAGCCATGAAGAAGAACGAAATGTTATCATTCGCTGGTAAATGGATGGAATTGGAGAACATCATTCTGAGTGAGGTTAGCCTGGCCCAAAAGACCAAAAATCGTATGTTCTCCCTCATATGTGGACATTAGATCAAGGGCAAACACAACAAGGGGATTGGACTATGAGCACATGATAAAAGCGAGAGCACACAAGGGAGGGGTGAGGATAGGTAAGACACCTAAAAAACTAGCTAGCATTTGTTGCCCTTAATGCAGAGAAACTAAAGCAGATACCTTAAAGCAACTGAGGCCAATAGGAAAAGGGAACCAGGAACTAGAGAAAAGGTTAGATCAAAAAGAATTAACCTAGAAGGTAACACCCACGCACAGGAAATCAATGTGAGTCAATGCCCTGTATAGCTATCCTTATCTCAACCAGCAAAAACCCTTGTTCCTTCCTATTATTGCTTATACTCTCTCTACAACAAAATTAGAGATAAGGGCAAAATAGTTTCTGCTGGGTATTGAGGGGGGGGAGGGGAGGGGGTGGAGTGGGTGGTAAGGGAGGGGGTGGGGGCAGGGGGAGAAATGAACCAAGCCTTGTATGCACATATGAATAATAAAAGAAAAATGAAAAAAAAAAAAAAAGAACTTTCTTACCTCACTTAAAAATAAATAAATAAATAAATAAAGGTTTCAGTTTAAAGTATATTGTTTTTGTAACTTCATCTCTCTGAATAGTTCTCCTAGTACCTCTCTAAACTTTCTAATAGCACCTAATATTTGTGGGTTTAATACAAAAGTTGTTAGGTGGGAACAAGATATTCACATTGCTTCAAGGTCTGAATCTCATGGGAATAGTAGTCATATATTCGGAGTGTAGTCCTTAAAATATTCGTAAGCTAGTACCTCCGAAATGTTAAACTTCTACACTTTAAGAAACCAATAAAGATTAACAATGGTGTTGGGGGCTTTAAGATTAAGGAGTATTAAGCCCTGGCACATGACCCAGTCTGTGTGTCATCAGAGTTGACCATGCTGTGCCTCACATGGTTCTGTGTTAACTGTTGGCAATTATTCCCACTTTCAGATTTCTCCTACTAGGCCTCACTCACCATCTTGAAAACCTCCAACTCCTGATATGGGTGTCTGCTGTCAGTCAGCCTATCCTATTTCTGGCCACCCACTTCTTAGTGTCTCCTCTGAGAGAGGAACTGCTAACTGACTTCCAAGTTCTAGGATATTGGTGTTGTTACAATGATGAGTGGTTAGGTCACTACACCAAAAAAGACAGAAACCCAGACTCTACCATTCTTTTGAGCCTCTCTTTCACTTCATATGGTATAATCTCTGAGTCCAGCAATTTCTGTTCCTTAGACGGTCCACTTTGAATTATGCTGGCCCCATAATTTAGACTGGGGAGAAGTTGGAGGCTTTGCTTAAGCCTCATAAGCCACACACTCAAAACTCACCTTTTCCCAGAATGCTTATAGAATGGT